TCATCATCACTGGTCATTAGATGAGAAATGCAAATTGAAGAAATTGAGAAATGCAAATTGAAACCACAATGAGATATCATCTCACGCCAGTTAGAATGGTGATCATTAAAAAATCAGGAAACAACAGATGCTGGACAGGATATGGAGAAATAGAAATGCTTTTACACTGTTGATGGGAGTGTACATTAGTTCAACCATTGTGGAAGACAGTGTGGTAATTCCTCAAGGATCTAGAACCAGAAATACCATTTGACCCAGCAATCTCATTACTGGGTATATACCCAAAGGATTATAAATTATTCTACTATAAATATACATGCACATGTATGTTTATTGCGGCACTATTCACAATAGCAAAGTCTTGGAACCAACCCAAATGCCCATCAATGATAGACTGGATAAAGAAAATGTGGCACATATATACCATGGAATACTATGCAGCCATAAAAGTATGAGTTCATGTCCTTTGCAGGGACATGGATGAAGCTGGAAACCATCATTCTCAGCAAACTAATACAAGAACAGAAAACCAAACACCACATGTTCTCACTCATAAGTGGGAGGTGAACAATGAGAACACACGGACACAGGGAGGGGAACATCACACACCAGGGCCCGTTGGGGGTGGGGGACTAGGGGAGGGATAGCATTAGGAGAAATACCTAATGTAGATGACGGGCTGATGGGTGCAGCAAACTACCATGGCACGTGTATTGCACATTCTGCACATGTATCCCAGAACTTAAAGTATAATAATAATAATAATAAAAGAAATTACTGTCTGTATACTTGACCAGTGGGTCTATATGTCTGGGTAAGGATGAGCAACCACAGACCTCCTCTGTAAGTTAGTTTCCCAGTCTGCAAAATGTGAACCATAATGGTTCCCACCTGGCTAGACTGAGATAAGATCCAAAATACAGCTTGCACAGAGCAAGCATCCAAACATATTAATCACCATTTTCATTATTATTAGTGTGGAAGTCCACATGTCCTTTTTCATCTAAATTTTATCTTACTTTGAGAACAAAGGATCTTTTTGAGTACAAAAGAGAACTTAATTTTTATTCTCTTTTTTCTTTTCTACCTAGAATAGTTTGGGTTTTTGGTTTTGTGCTTTTGTTGTTTTACAAAGAGAGATAATATAAAGAGGCAACAAAATTATTAAGAGTAAATTTCATATTGATGTTTGGTGAAGCTCTAGCACGAATAGTAAAAGTTGTTTTAGACACTCTCCATTCTGCTATTCTAGGGAGTGTTCCAACCATACTGAAGAAATGGCCATCTGAGGGGATGGGGAGAAGAATAGTGGGTTTAAGGTGGGAGAAAAACATAACCACAAAGAGGATTTTATAAAAATGAGGCAAAATTGATCACCCTGGCTCTGGCCTTGTTCCCGCTCTGTGGGGTTTCCTCTTTTTCTTACAGCAAAAGAATTTTAAAGATTTTGTGTAATTACAGAGAACTTTGAAATCAGAAAAGGCAGTTACCAGGGGAGGGCAAGATGTTTCAATCTGAGGAACACACTTCATTGTTAGTACTTTATCTAATATCCACGTTAGTATCCTGCACAGTCCAATGCGTTATGCTGTAAACATTTTAAATTTCTCTACATAGGTATTCACTTAGCAGTAAATAAAAAATAAATGGATATTAAAAAATGAGAGTTTCCAAGACATTTAAAACATGGATAGCAGCTTAAATTTTTTACATGTCTAATATATCAGATTCTCGTAACTGCTTAAAGCCCTTTAGGAGTAAGTCTAGAACAACACAATCATTACAAAACAGATGCATACACCTACATTGTAACTGGTTATACAAGTGTTAATACCACGACTTAGAATTTTCTTTATCTTTTTACTCCAATAGGAAGATTTGTATCATGAAAGCCTGGAGAGTTTCTCACCTAAACTCTCATCCTCCCAGCTCTAAAACGATGGCATTCATCCACTTTCACTTGCCAAATTAGGATTCTTAATGATTTTAGATCTTTTTCTGTTTTAAAGCTGAAACCAGGATTATGAGCTCGTCTACATTTTTATTGTAAATAATGCATTCTGCATTCTATTACAGAGAAATTGAAGGCTTGTGCTTCCTAAGCCTTTAAGCTACAAACACATTTGTCTGAATCTAATAATCCAGGTAAGGAGAATTGTAATTTACAATTACCCATGATAAAGAAATACCAATTAGCCAAGTGTAAACTGCTAGCACTGAGGCAGTAAAAATAGGGTCTGGAAGCAGGGAACGTAAGGCCGATTCACACTTCAGCTATGACAGGAAATATCCCCTCCATAGCGCATGCACCAAATAAATAACTTTGTAACTTTACTTCATCCTCTATTTACATAGGGCATACCTCAGGTAACCAACAGAATCCTCCAGAGGGTATTTAAACTCCCAAAGTTCTATACCAGGGCCCTTGAGCCCCTAAGCTTGGGCCGCTCCCACACTGTGGAGTGTACTTTCAATTTCAATACATCTCTTCGTTCCATCCTTGCTTTGTTTGTGCGTTTTGTCCAGTTCTTTGTTCAAGATGCCAAGAGCCTGGACACCCGCCACCGGTAACAGTATGGTTGTGCTGGTGTCTCTCACAAAGGGCTCTTATTCACCCTCTGTTTTCCTTAATCTTTCTTCCCCCTAAACCAAGATCTACTAAAAATATAATCTCGGATCTTAAGGGAGATTAGAATACAGAGATGTAGGATGGGCTACAGAACAACTCATGTCACCATTAAGACAGGGCTGCAACGTCACTATATTATAGCTCCTGTCACCCTGGGTAGACCTGTCCCCCACTGGAATTTTGGACCTCACATATCTATCTTCAGCCCATAAAGGTCATCTTACCTGAACTCCTAAGGAATCAACCTTTTTGGAGCAGAGGGAAGGAACTATTGTCCAGGATGCAAATAGGCCAGGTGTGCTCTTTAGAAACTAACAGAACAACCAGAAACTACCAAACTGAGCAGGATGGCAGGGTCTGGATGGATGCTGCTGCAGGGCAGGTTCCTCCACAAGATGGAGCCAAAGAAAGCCTTTAAATACTGACCATGAGTGCGAGAAAAACCACTCCTCCCCCATACGAAGGGCTGCAGCAGAACACAGCCTACACTCAGATGTGCAGATGTATCATCTAAGGTTATTTACAAGAGCTAAAGAAGGTCCTCCTTTGGTGAGAGGACTCCAGAGTTATTCAATACGTCATCATCAGTAGTGAAAGAACAGCGTACTTTAAGGGTGAAGAACTCATACAGATGGTTTCAGGTATCGATGCAGATAGATGTTAAGAGCTTTTACTTTTAGAAAAAGACTGCTAGAAAGGAAATTTTCAGGACAAAATGGAAAACCAGGCAAGGATCACCAACTTGGAAGAAAATACACAACATGGAAAAAGAAGACCAGAATTAACAGAAAAAATGTCTCCAGAGGAAACAAATAATTAAGTGAACAGATTAAAACTAGAAAAGAACATGCAGCATCTTCAGTGAGATTTAGGTAATATTTAATCCACAAAACAAAAATGGGATCCCATAAAAAAGAAATAGCAGAGAACAACAAAGGGAGTTCAACAAATAAAACTGGGATTGTCCACATGGGGAAAAAATTAGTATAAGACCTGAAAAATGGAATCAAGAAATTCTAAACAGGCCAAGTGTGGTAGCTCACACCTGTGATCCCAGCACTTTGGGAGGCTGAGGCAGGCGGATCACCTGAGGTCAGGAACTCAAGATCACCCTGGTCATCATGGTGAAACCCGTCTCTACAAAAAATACAAAAATTAGCCAGGTGTGGTGGTGTGCACCTGTAATCCCAGCTACTCGGAAGGCTGAGGCAGGAGAATCACTTGAACCCAGGAGGTGGAGATTGCAGTTAGCCAAGATCATGCCACTGCACTCCACTCTGGGCAACAGAGTGAGACTCCATCTCAAAAAAAAAGAAAGAAAGAAAAAGAAATTCTAAACATTATGGAGGATATGAGTTTTATGCAAAAAAAGAAAAGGAAATCTGGGCTGGAATATTATGAGAGGGTCGTTGAAGTGAGTTAGGAAGGCCCAATCTGACAAGGGTATTTGAAAAAGATAGTGCAGAGAAAATGGAAGGAAGGAAGTCATTAAACACCACCAAACAAACAAATAAAACAGGGAACAATTTCCCAGAACAGAAGGCTATTGGGCTTCATATTAGAAGGCCTCAAGTGCCCACGCACTTACACCAAAAGGACCCAGGCTTAGACTAGTTTTTCCATGGTCCCAGCTGGTGTCGAGCCATTACCCCCAACTGGCCTCCTTTACTGTGTCTCCAAGGCCTCTCTGGGTTTTAAAATAGTATCTCACCACATATAGGAAATACAACAATAAGAAAATATGTTTAAAATATACCAAAACTCTAGTGCCACCCAACCGAACGATGCCCTAGAGACACTGATAGACTATTTCAGAAAATTAGTCTTTTCTTTTGGAAGACAAAATATTTTGGAAAACATCACTTTAAGCAAATTTATGCTGAAAATAAACACATATACACATCCATATCTAGTTATCTGTATTATTCTAAAGTGCCTGCCTTGAAAACATGCATGTGCAGAGGTCTGTGGGGAAAGCGTTGAGGGCAACAGTTTTTCTGAAATCCCCATGAAACGGAAAGTACCATGAAAAACCAATCACTTACCACAATATTGTAACAGAGGCTCAAGAACTAGAAATTTCTGAAAGAAAGCCTATGGATACGTTTCAAACTTTATACCAGAAAGCATTCTCTTATGACAGCTTCAAGATGTACTCGGAAATTGCTTTTACTGAAACTCATCACTCTTTTAAGACTGCATAGCAGTCATTACTTTCTGACATCTCCTTGTTTATTGCTTGTTTCTTTGTGCATTGCAGGTTCCATAAAAGCTGACTTTGTGCCTGAAATATTAGAAGTGAACTGTGAGTGCTTACTGAATGAATAGGTGAATGGACAAAACCTCCTGCAATACAGCTTTCTTACCATGCCTCAAGAGACTCTTCAGTCCATCCTACTGTTGTTGTTGATTGGTTCTCCCTGAGTGCTGACCCTAGGCCCAGATTCAGAGATTTCTCCAAGAAACAGCTTCTTTGAAAGACATCATTCCTATTGTCAACCCTGTTGGCATAGAAATAAAATGTAGACGTTGGACAAAGGCAATATTTGTTGTGACAATGGCGATATTTGTTGTAATAAAACATAAATGTATGTCCATCAGTGGGGAATGAGAATGCTGGGATTTGAAGAGGCCAAAAAATAATACTGCTCTCTTTCTCTCTTGGGAAAGAGAGGGGATGTATTTTTTTGAAAAGCCATAAGCTTACAACAGATGAAATTCAAAATTCATACTAGACTTCACTGGAGAATGTAACCAAAATATGAGGCCACAGGTGAGCTTTCTACTTCTTTCCTCCACTCTCCAAGACGGCCCACTGATATGGTTTGGCTGTGTCCCCACCCAAATCTCATCCTGAATCCCCATGTGTCATGGGAGGGACCCAGTGGGAGGTAACTGAATCATGGGGGCAGTTACTCCCATGCTGTTCTGTGATAGTGAATGAGATCTCATGAGATCTGATGGTTTTATAAGGGGCTTTTCCCCTTTTGCTTGGCACTTCTCCGTCCTGCCATCATGTGAAGAAGGATGTGTTTGCTTGCCCTTTTCCCATGATTGTAAGTTTCCTGGGGCCTCCCCAACCATGTGGAACTGTGAGTCAATTAAACCTCTTTCTTTCATAAGTTACCCAGTCTCAGGCAGTTCTTTACAGCAGCGTGAGAACAGACTAATACACTCACCCAGGATTCAGTCTCCCACCTGCAGAAGCAGCGGTCCCCCAGTCGCTGTGCTCCTGGCATCTTTGAGGGCCAGCCACTGGGACTGAAAGCTCAAAGAGGGCAGGGCCTCTGCCTGGTTTCTTCTCCTAGTTTCAACAGTAAGATAAATCATTCCCACCTGAAGTCTGGAATCACTAATAGTGTTATACCCTGGGAGTGTAAATTCCCTCATGCAACATGATTGGGAGGAATAAGATTTCCACCAGATAAATAAATAAATAGTTTGTGGTGCACCCAATGTTATGTTATATATCTATTTACAAGAATACAGTTAGATCAGATCTACATATACCAACACAAGAAATGTTTCAAAGGATTTTAAAAGTGGTAGAAAAATTGCAACACTGTTTGTGACCTTCTTTTTTTCTTTTTTTTGACAAGGTCTTGCGCTGTCACCCAGGCTGGAGGGCAGTAGTATGATCATGTCTCACTGCAGCCTTGACCTCCTATGTCTAAGGTATCCCCCTGCCTCAGCCTCCCAAGTAGCTAGGACCACAGGCACATACCACTACACTCAGCTAAGTTTAAACTTTTTGTAGACATGGGGTTTCACCCTGTTATGCGGGCTGGTCTAGAACTCCTGGGCTCAAGAGACTCCCCTGCCTTGACCTCCCAAAGTACTGGGATTACAGGCATGATCATGGCTCTGCTTATGCAGGTGTAAGACCTCTGCCTAGGCAGGTGGGAGCCCTCCATGCCCCCAATCTGACCTTCTTCTTATAAAAGCAAATGAATAATTCTAATATATGTTAGCATATGTATAAATATGAAAAAAGGAAGACTATGCATTGAACTTAATGATGGTTATCTTTAGCAAGTGGGATCACAGTGGATGTTTATTATATTATAGTTTTGATGATGTCTGAATTTTGTATTAATGGAAAGCCATTTCTTCTATAATAAGGAAAAATAATAAAGAGTAGAAAAAAGGGAATTAAATTAGAAAGCAGATGACATTTCTTTTCCTCCTAAGATCATGCTGAAGAACAAGAGGAAGAGGGAAACCAAATGGGTGTCTGTAGGACTGGAATATGCAAATGGCCTTGTCCCTAGGTGCCACCACATATGGTGAGGATGGGAGAGTGCTGGCCACCTGTTGCCTCTCATGGCCTGCAGTTTTCTTCTTGAAGCCTCAGGAGCCTCCCACTCCCAGTCCTCATTCCTCCTGTGTGCTGTCACATGAAACCCCAGTCTTGGTTCTGGACTTTACAGCCAGCCTATGAGGGCACTGAAAAAAGAGCATGGGCTCTGACAGTAGACGGGCCTAGGCTCAAATGCTAATCCTGCCATGTCCTCAATGTTTGAATCTGGGCAAATCACTTATCTGCTGAAACTTGGTTTTCACATCTCCAAAATGGATTTAATAATATTCTCATAACAGGTAGTGGATATAAAGCCCTCAGCTAGCCTCCTTTCCCCTGATTATAATTTCCAAACTCTGCTTGAAATAGGGTGTCACGGGACACAAGAGGGATACAGCATAAGAAACTGAGTGAGATTTAACTTCCTAGAATCACATACACTGGGGACTGGTCACTTGAGAAACCAGACCCCAAAGACGCCCTTGGTGTGGGAGCAGAGATCTGTGTCCAGAAACTGCAGGAAAACCACAAAACTCGGAAGCATGTTCATTTCTCCACCCTCTCATCAAGACAATCAACCTGCTGCTTCGGGCTCTTCTAAGAGTTTGCTTTCACTCTGCTGAATGTCTCCTTTTTTTGCACTTTGTAATATGCTTTAACATCTTCTTTATGTATCCAAAGAAACAATCAATTAGCTTTAACTTTCAAAATTCTTGATTTTTCACTGTGGTGGCAAAAAAAGGAAGCCTCTGTGACCCCACCAATAACTCATTTGGGATGTCTTTGAAACATTAAACTGTGTTCCTTTAAAAAAAAAAAAAAAAAAGTAAATGGCCAGGTGCGGTGGCCCACACCTGTAATCCCAGCACTTTGGGAGGCTGAGGCGGGCAGATCAGGAGATCAAGAGATCAAGACCATCCTGGCCAACATGGTGAAACCCCGTCTCTACTAAAAATACAAAAAATTACCTGGGTGTGGTGATGTGCACCTGTAATCCCAGCTGCTCATGAGGTTGAGGCAGGAGAATTGCTTGAACCCAGGAGGCGGAGGTTGCAGTGAGCCAAGATTGTGCCACTGCACTCTGCCTGGCGACAGAGCAAGACTCCGTCTTGCTCTAGTTCCCCAGGGAAGAACTTCATAGGATATTGCGTTTTATTTCACATTCCCCACCTCAAGCCTTGTCTCTCAGCATTCCAGAGACTAGTGGAGGCATGGAAGAGGTACGGTCTGCACAAGCTCAGGCTAACAGCTCTCTTACAAGATGGTTTTCAGACTAACTGTTAAGATGACCCCAAGTAAGCATGGATTCTGTAAATGTGTCACTGAAAAGCTGAATCCTGCTATCAAAGACAAGAAAAGAGCTTCAAGAACAGACGCTGGAAACAGTCCAGCCACACAAGAGCTGGAGAGATTCAGGAACAAAGTAAGAGTGAGGAGCAAATGATCAGGCTGTGAGACGGACCAAGCCACGGTGATTCTGGCATAAGAAGAGGTGACTATAACAAGGTTTCAGAAGACAGCCTCACATATACGAGCAATTGCTTTACAATTAAGAGGCTTCTGCGATTTAGTGTTAAAAGGATGATCTTTTCAATAAATAGTGCTGGAGCACTTATATTTTATATTATATAAAATACTTATATTTTTAAAATATACTTCAATCCACACCTTATATCACATACAAACATCAATCCTAAGTAGGTTATAGGCCTAAACTTATAAGCTAAAATCATTCTTTCAACAATAGAAGAAAACATAAGAGAAAAATCTTTGCAACTTCGAGTTAGGCGAATAGTTTTTAGAGAGGACACCAGTCAGTATCTTTAACCTTAAAAACATATTAAATCGGCTGGGCACAGGGGCTCACGCCTTTATCCCAGCACTTTGGGAGGCTGAGGCGGGTGGATCACCTGAGATCAGGAGTTTGAGACCAGCCTGACGAACATGGAGAAACCTCATCTCTACTAAAAATATAAAATTAGCTGGGCATGGTGGCACATGCCTATAATCCCAGCTACTCGGGAGGCTGAGCCAGGAGAATCGCTTGAACCTGGGAGGCAGCGGTTACAGTGAGCCGACATTGCGCCATTGCACTCTAGCCTGGGCAACAAGAGCAAAACTCCATCTCAAAAAAAAAAACCAAAACCAAAAAAAAAACTTACTAAACTGAGCATCAGAAGTTAAAACCTTTTTTCCTCCAGAATATACAGGAGGCAACATCACCAAGATAACAGAATAAGAAATACCAGCCTTTATCTACCACATTAAAAAAATATATATATAAACAGCTATGCACAAAACAAATAGTCCAGAGGGAGCTCAATGGTTCATTAAAGAATCTGCAGCAATACAGTAGAGCACAAAAATCCAGGGAATATTCACATAAAAAGTATCGCTGGTGAGACTGGCATAGCTAAGATGCCAGGAGATGACTAGGAGCGAAAAAGAAGAAAGTCAAAGACTATCGGTATCAGTTACACGATGGGAACCACCAGCATTGCCAGGGGCCTGCTCCACAAAGGACACTGGCATCTCTTGCTACTGAGCTAATCAACAACCCTTCTCACCAGAGAACCCCAGAGAAAGAGAGATGCCTGAACACCCCATCCCCATCCATGAATTTGATAGACTGTTGAGCCACTTCAGGAAAGGAGCAACCAACTCTCCCAAGCCCATGTGTTCTTTGATTCTGGAGCTACACTGCACTGCGAGTGCCTGCACTCCGATGACAGCATCTTAGTCCATTTGTGTTGCTCTAAAGGAATACCTGAGGCTGATAATTTACAAGGAAAAGAGGTTTATTTGGCTTATGGTTCTGCAGGCTGTACAAGAAGCATGGTGCTGGTCTCCTCAGCTTCCTGTGAGGGTCTCATGCTGCTTCCACTCATGATGGAAGGTGAAAGGGAACTAGCATGCAGAGATCATACGGTGACAGCAGAACCAAGGGAGAGAGAGAAGGTGCCAGGTTCTTTTGGACAACAAGCTCTCAGGGAAACTAATAGAGAACTCATTCACTCCCACAAGGATAGCATCAAGCCATTCATGAGGGACCCTCATGACCCACACACCTCCCAATAGGCCCCACTTCCAACATTAGGGATCAAATTTCAACATGAGGTTTGGAGGATCAAATATTCAAACTATAGCACCTGGACTCTGTGGCTGTACTGGGCCTGACACTGGAGTCATCACCAAAGTGAG